ACACGAGATCCAGCGTGTATGATATATTTTACTATGTGTTTTTGCTTTCTTAAAATGTATTGTTTAGAAGACTCTACCCTAAATTTAAGTATGATTATCAGAAGTATGAAACATCACCTTCTCTCACCATGGATTTTAAGTTATTAAACTGTCTCAAATTAAAGGTCTGTTTGCCAGTACTCAGCGATATCGGAAGGTAATCATAGCTCCCATCTCATCGCGTTTGCATCAAGTGCCCAGCACGGTGCTGTGCTTCGNAGATCTGTTCTCAAATTAAAGGTCTGTTTGCCAGTACTCAGCGATATCGGAAGGTAATCATAGCTCCCATCTCATCGCGTTTGCATCAAGTGCCCAGCACGGTGCTGTGCTTCGGGTTCATTGTCTCCTTTAATCCTCCTGCAGTTTTGCACGTGAGGAGAGTAGAGCTGGGAGGGGAACTCACTCCTCTCAGTGGCTCCTCAGCTAGTAGTGGGTGGGGCAGGGATCTGGATCCTGCCTCCCTGCCAGGCATCCTAGGCCTTTAAAGCAGATGGGAGAGTTATGTTTACCTAGTCTCTTTGTTTTTAACCTATGACTTTAACTCTTCTTTAAGTCCTTCTAGTACATTCATAATTAGAACAGGGATCGTTGGAATTGCCTTTCTTTGGCTCTTTTCAGTTCTACCTATGCTTATAAATAGCCAGCCCTTTGAAAGGCGCCGTGCTGTTCAAAACAGGATGAGTACTTTAGATTTTTTTTCCTTCTGAAGTTCCACATGACAGTTCAAAAGGAGGTAATCACCTACACTTGAGGGTTAGGAGGTAGGGGATCAATCTAGAAAGTGCTGTTTGTAATGCCCTTTGTTGGATGAGTTTGACTTCACCAGGCTCAGAACAAGGAAAATCGTCACATACCATCTTATAGTTAATTGTACTTCTTGTAGCATCTTGTAGTCAGTTGTATCTAGTGTGGGTTATCACTTAAATATCTGTGTACTACTGCAGCAAACTGAGTTTGAGCTTAAAATACTGAAATAGTACCATGGGCGTAAGGGGTGGCAGGGGGAGGAGGGTTACATGCTGATCTACACACTTCCAGCACAGAGTAAAGAGTTGTCCACCATCAAAAGTCACACCCAGGAAGGGACGGATTATGTGTTCCCTGAAATGACTGTAAGGGGCAAGCTCTAGACTAGAAGTGAAGAACTTTATCTGTAACAGCGAGGTTAGACAGATGTCACTTAGTTTAGTCCTTACATTTAATGTTGTCATTTAACTACTGTTTGTAATTTGATTTTGTGATCATGGCAAATGAACAGTGTTTTGGAAATACAGAAGTACAGCATGGCTTTGTCTTGTTTTATTTTTCCATATAGGTCCCTCTAGGACAGTTGTTTCTACCACTATCTAATCTGCTACTGTAAGTCATTTTGTCCATAAAGCTTTAAGATGCTTCCCAAAAATCCAACCTGTGTATGTCACGGGTGGGAATTCCAGCATTCTTCTTATATTACCATAAAATAAAATGTGAATGCAAAGCTGTAAGAAGAGCTCCACCAGCTTGTTAAGAGAGAAGTGAATGGTACTTCAGAAGTTAACTAGCTTCAGTCTTGTACATTTAGTTCAAGTCCATCCTGGGTTGGCCTAGGAAAGGCATGGTAAACCAAGGTAGACTGGATTTGTGATTTCTGTATCCTCATGTATGGTTATATAGACTTCCCGGCTCATGGAACATAATTGGTATTCCTCTGCACACAGACCAATGTGACTTAAGATAGGATTTCCATTTTGCTATCTTTTTATCAGAGTTTCACATACGTAAAAGTCTAGTGGCTTCTATATTTTAGAGGACATTCCAGATCTTTAAAAATTAAAAGTCAGAACTGTTTCTTTAAAAATCTATGTGGAAAATAACCTTTAAAATAAGAAAAACAAGTTTCTCTTTACTTTTAAAATGTTTCAGTTGCATAAAGTTAGAATTCTGCTCCTTTAATCTCATTCCCCTAACGAAACCATTGTTATTTTGGTACATAGTTGTGTGAGAAGATATTGTTCCAAATTAATTAATTGACTTTTTTTGGGGGGGGGTCCATACCTTTCCAGTGAAGTTTTCTTCATTTTTTTAAGACCTTATTTAGAAGAGAAAAAACGAATTAAAAGAGAAGTAGTATAGGTATGTTGAAGAACCGTCAGTGCTAAATCTTAGTGTATAAAAGTACTTGGGTCCTTTTCATTCATGTCTGTGTATATATTGATTTTTATAGCCACACATTGATTTACGTATATGTCAGACATTTAGCTCTGTCTTGTCCATTACAAGCCACAAGCCATGTGTAACGATTGAGCATTTGAAGTACAGCTAGTCCAAACTGAAGTGTGCTGTAAGTATAAAATATATACTGGATTTCAAAGACTTTGTACAAAAGAAAGAACGTGAAATACCTCAATAATTTTTTTTGTTGATTACATGTTAAAATAACAATATTTTGGATATTCTGAATTAAATAAAATGTGTTATTACATTTAATTTCACTCATTTCTTTTTAATGTGGCTGCTAGGAAATTTTAAATTACAGATGAAGCTTGCCTTCATGACCCCCATTGTATTTCTGTTGGACAGTGCCGCCCGAGACCACCTAGCTGTCCGCGTACTTAATGCCTTAGGAACAGGAGCAGCATCTCGGACAGAAAATCCTATTGAATAACTTTTAACTGGAACCTCTGATTTTATTTTCTTACATTCCAAATGCTGTTTTTCAACACCCTCTTTTGATTCTGTTTTTAAAGTCTCAGTACAGTGGTTCTTTAAGCTGCCTCCTCTTTTGATACTGCTAAGTCTCCCAGGAGTTTACACAGCCTCGGTGAAAGCAATACTTGGGCCCCATTCATGTGTTCAAGTCAGATCATTATTCCTAATAATGGCTCTGAGTGCTCGGGTAGATCAGCACTTCGGCCTTGAATTGCTTGTCATTTCTTTATAAAGATGTCTCACGGAATTGCTCTGTGCAGTCCCCTCTTTCATTGTTTCCTAGCAAAAAGTAACATAATCCTTCATTAGTTCGTTGGAAGTCAGAGAAGAAAAGTCTTTTATATTAGCCAAAATAAAATGTATTTCCAGGTACTGAGAATAAAGAGCGAAATTAGTCATGAGTGACGGTCCTGCGGAAGTTAATTCTTGAAATAAATCATGAATGCACTGACAATCCGCCAGTGGCTCTCACCTCTGTTTTATTTCCCCATTATACTCAGGTCCAGGCTGTCATCAGCAACGGCAAGGAAACCTATGTGATTCCTTGAGAAAGGGAAAAGTTGCACTGTTCGACTTACTAGTATGGTAGTCATGGAAGCACCGGTTATCTTCATCAAGGCAATTCAGATTTGATTATTGTAGAACTGTGTGTTGAATACAAACCAGTGGGGTGGTAGCTGGAGCTAAATCAAGGGATCATCAGTTATGTTAGATGATTAGGGCTGACTTGGAGGAGATATGAAAGGGTCAAGCTGTGTAAATATTCTCTTTTCAGCAGAAAAAAAAGAAAAGGTCCATCATGGTCATTAAGATGCAGCTTGTTAGCTTGATGAATTTCCAACTATTTAACCTTAGCAATTATATACTCCCCTGCCTACATGCAACTATATCAGTGCCTTAGGATTATGTCGCCAAGGATTGATATCCAAACATGTTGGTAACTTTCTGTTAAGACAAAATGCAGCCTTTCTCTGTCTAGATGGATCTCTCAGAGGACAGGGCATGTTCTGGGTCAAAGTCCTAATTATCAACTTGAATTATATGCTCCGATGAGCATTGGAACACATTTATTTATAAGTTTTTTGAAAGCTTTTAAATAAAATAATATGTATTTTAACATTTTAGAGATGATGGTATTTATTTTAAGTAATGCTTTATTAATATGTTACATTTTTATAAACTAGATGAATTTTTTATAAAAATTAAACTTGTTTAATTTTGTGACCATGAGGAACTCGATACGTTTAAATAACAGACACATTAAATTAATAGCAACATATTTAGACACACCTGATCTATGATTCAAGGACACTTCTGCAGTGTTTATAAATAATATTAAATATCTGAAAGGATAATGTATTGCTTCTTTTATGAAAATACTCTTTTTGGTCAGTTTAGTTTTGTATTGTGAATGGTACCCTGCTAATATTTCCACTACTTGGACACTTATTAAACTCGTATGTAAGAACAGATGACATAGAAATTGCTAACTTTAAAAGAATTGCTGAATTCTTGAAATAGTTCATTCATTTTAGGAGAAGGAAGACTCGGTGTGCCATCTAGTGGGCATGTTTAGCATTGTGGGTATCAAAAACATTTCCCTTTTCCTCCAAAACGCAGCTTTCTTTACATTTTGTATCTCTTGGTCCATTAGCATAGATTATCTCATATAATTTTTCAGTTTTGTTGTGACTTTATCTTATTGTATTTGGAAAGTCATATTGAAAGTGATCAAAATCATCAAAAATAAATTTAATGACAGGAATAAATCTATTCAAACTATGAGGCAAGTAAAAGAAAAATATATTAGCCCTGGCCGGTATGGCTCAGCTGATCGGATGATCATCCTGTGCACCAAAAGGTGGCGGGTTCGATTCCCAGTCAGGGTATATACCCAGGTTTGCGGGTTCAGTCCCTGGTTGGGGAGCATGCGGGAGACAGCTGATCGATGTTTCCCTCTCTCTCTCTCTCTCTCTCTCACTCTGTCTCTATTTCTGTCTCTCACTTGCTCTCCCTACCTCCCTCTTAAAAAATCAATTTAAAAAAACCTTCAAAAAAGAAAAATATATTAAAACAATTTCAGTCTTCAGTGAGGACTAAGATCAGGTAAGGCAAAGCTTCAACAATAAAAGCAAAACCCAAGAATATAATTATTAAATTTCATTTTATGTATTTTTTCTGAAAGAATATAAAAACAATCATTTTGTCCTTTTATATGTTAATATAGAACTTAAATAGCTTTATACATTTTAATTTTTTTTTTTTTTCTATAGAGAAATCCAAGGCCAGTGACTTATCAATTCCATCCAAATTTAGATTATTACAAAGCACGGGGAGCAGACCTCATGAATAAAAGCCGGTAAGTTCTCTTGCTGATAAAAGTTTTGTCACAAAGACGTTCTTGGAGATCATCAGGAAATAGTGCACATTTGCTGAAAATAATTTTCCAGTTTTCAGTGTATCGATGGCTAATGCATATAAATAAATTACCCGAGTTTTTTTATCTGAATTTCTTTAAAGGAATAAGAAAATGATATACACTGGTATCAGTGGTGAGATGAAAAGTTAAATATAAGAGTGCTCGTTACAGTTTGAAGTTCGGCAGCTTCATTCTTCTAACACTAATAAACCTAAATAAAATGTGCCTACTTGTATAATCTCTTTCTAGATACTTGCTGTTGATTGAAAAGAGGCAGTTTTATAATATATTTTTAAATTATTTCAGTAACAAAATTAAAATTGATTTTCCCAGCTGTCTTTAGAACTACACAATAAGCTTATAAATGCATCTTGGGTGTGCATTTGTGATTGCGTACATAGAAATTTTAAGGGTCACTGTAGGAATTAAAAAACATTAAAATCCTCCTTTTAAAAGAAATTAACATTGGCATAAAGGGTTGATGAACAGTTTTGTTCTTTCATAATACTGTACTCAGATGTCTCAAGAGTTAACTTGTCAAACCAGAGCCATCTCAGATTAGAACATAATTTCAGAGTTTACTCTAGGAGACTGAAATGTTAGCAGTGACAAATGCTGCCAGGCTGTCCGCGTTTTCTTCCCTGAGCACTTTGCCGTGTGCAAGTTTCCTCGGTGGGCGCCCAGCAACCTCAACGTGCATGTATGTGGTACACACGCACTGTGTGTTCAGCTCGTACTCGGAGAGTTAAAAAGAAGACAGTTCCTGCCACGTAGAAACCCATAGTCTAGGAGAAGTTTACAAGGAAGTGGCTACATTTAAACTTGTCTTTTGAACCCTGTTTTCGAGTAATGTTATTTTTAAACTCCCCACCCTTGCTTGAGCTCTGCCGCATGTTTTGATGTGCACCGTAATTATGAGACCAGTCCTGTAGCCCGTGAGGCTTCTCTGAGGCCCTTTGTGAATGGTCACTCCATCTGATTCTTGTTTCGCCATCAAAAGGCTATTCCCTTTAGTCACTTTGTTCATTTTAATTTAACAAGTGTTTAACAAAGAGTTCCAGGCTCTCATTATGCTAGGCACTGGAGAGACGCAGTGAACAAACCAGACGGAAATCCCTGCCCTCAGGAATCTCACAGTCCAGTCGCTTGTATTTCCTGCCTGTTATGTCAAGTATTTCGTTTTGTTATGTTTCAAAGATCAGGGTATTTTAGGCACTTTCTTCGTACGAAATCTGTCTAACTAGAGTCCCTTCCTCTCTTCCCTATCTTCTCTGCACCCCCCCATTAGTTTTCACACAACAGCCAAAACTCTCCATTTACAGCAGATTACATCACACACACCCAAACCCCCCCAAAGGCTTCGTCACCGTTGATACTCGAGGCTTCTCCCCCTTCTCTCTTTGACTTACCTCCTGGGCTCCCTTTTTCCTCACTCCCATGCTGCCCTTTGCTTGGCACTTTGCACTGGACCCTTCCCCTCCCTGCAGCACCCCTCCCAGCCCCCCTGGCCTTTTCCTGCCCTAGGGCTCAGCCCAAACCGGCTATGGGAGAGCCACTCTCAGCCTCCCTGTTGTGTGCCCCTCCTCTGCTCGCTCCCTAACCCAGTGCCAGTCTTGTTTTCTTCATGGCATTCATTACTAACAAGTTATATTCGCCATTTATGTCCCTATCATCTGTCTCCCCAACTTCCCCGCTAAAATTTAAGTCCCAGTCTTTCTTACCACTTAATGGTATCTGTGTGACCTCTAGTTACTAGAAAGCTTTTTAGCCTTAAAAGTAGCGGAAGGAACCACAAAGGGGATGACTGGTAAATTTTACTATACAACTATTTTTAAGTAGATATGTCAAAAATAAAATAAACTGAATCAAATGCAAACAGAAAGTTGGGGAAATATCTGTGTTGGAAATAACTGGGGAACTATGATATCATTAGTATATAAAGGACTTATGCAGTTCAGATCCAGCCTATAAGTTGAAGCACCCGCCAGTCTTCTTTTTGCCTCTGTACTCACTCCTTACAGGATCTCACCCCAGGTCATGGCTCTAAACACCACTCAGGACTGGGGGCCTCTTCACTGATCTCAGTCTGACCTCTCCCCTTGAACTCGAGACTCACAGATCCACTGCTTACTCTGTATTTCCTCTTGGATGTCCTATGCGCGTCTCAAACTTAGGATTTTTTAAACTAAACTCTTGATTCTGCCTCCACAAAACTGTTACTCCTTAAGTGTTTCTCCATCACAATAAATACCACAACCCAGTCTTAGAATTGCAGTAGACTCCTCTTTCTCTCACATCACACATCAAGTCCATCAGCAAGTCCTCTTCGAAATATATCCTGAAACAAATCACTTTTCTCTATGTATCCAGCCAATACCGAGTCCCCCCATCATGGCTCATCGCACTCCCGTCGTCTCCTGATCCCCCAATATTCCTCTCCTCCTCACACCCCGCAGCCAGATTAATGGAAGTCAGGTCATAGCACTGCTGCTCAAGCCCTTCTGTGACTTCCCAAAGCCTTTTCAGTGGCCTCAAGACAGCCCTATGATCCAGCCTCCTACTCTCTCCAGCCCCTTTCATACCACCACCCTTCCCTGCTGCTCATTGCCTCCAGCCACCCTGGCCTGCTTACTGCCCCTCAGGCACGCAAACATGTTCCCACTCAGGGAGCTCTGAGCTTGCTTTTCCCTGTGCTCGGAGTCCCCCCAGTAATCCACGTGGCACACACACTGTTCAGTCTCTGCTCCAGTATCATCTCTCCATAAAACCTCCCTTTGACTACTCTGTCTAAGATAACAGACCCCTTTCCTGTGCCTTTACTCTGCTTGCTTAATGTTTTTGTTTTTGTATTTTTTTATAGCACAAAATGATATTTTTAGCTTTTTAAAAAATTACTGGTTTTTTTGTCTGTTTTTATCATTTGTTTCTTGCACTAAAATGTGAACTCTATATGTTTGTCTTAACTGTTATATTCCTGGTGCCCAAAATAGTGCCTAGAATATAGTAGGCACTCAATGAAAAAAGAGTTACAAACAGCAAATAAACATTTAAAAGGCTGTTCAAACCCATAATTAGTCAAATAAATGCAAATTAAAATACCAATAAAGTGTCATTTTCACCTTTCAAATTAGCAAATTAAAAATAGATGAGCCAGAGATGATGAAGTCCTAGAGATCTGTACAGAAATATTTAATAATATCATATTATATACCTAAAAATTCCCTGAGAGGGTGGGTCTTAAGTGTTATCACAAAAAATAAAATACAATTTTTAAAAATGAAATAAAGAGGGTGGAAGGGAACTCATGGATGTAATGAATGAATGTGTTTATGGTATAGATGGTGTTGATGGTTTTGCAGATGTCAGTCGTACCTCAGTAAAGTGGTTTTGAATGAATGAATGAATGAATGAATGAATGAATGAATGAGAAAGCTAGCAGTGGTGAAGGTGCATGGATACCCTTAGTCACCACTTGATAGAGTGTAAATTGAGAATACTTGATAATCTTGTGCAAGAAATCTTCCAATCCTATATGTAGCCCTATTCCTTTGAAGTTTCTCAGGAGCCCTTGAGCCATAATCAGCTTTACAACTACTTTCTTAGTTGTTTAGAGTCTATTAAAAAGGTAATCCATTGGGGCTGTCATATAGTAGCAAGATGGGGAGTGGGAATGACCCAGAGGGTGTGTGTGTGTGTGTATATATATATATATATATATATATATATATACACACACATATACTCATGGGGGGACCTCTCCAGTGATCTGCAAATGGAGACAGGCAGACACCTGGGAAGCAGGGAACCTGCTCCATCTATGGCAGCGAACTTCTGTTGGTGTTGCTTATCCAAATAAGGGGCGAGATGCAAAGATCACATGTGAGTTCATGGATTAGAGTATCCCTAGAAATCAAGAAGCCTGATTTCTGTGCTTTACCATGGAGTGCTATCATTAAGACTTTAAAAGCAAGTGCCTGGGTATTTTAGTGGAAGAGTTTCCATTGCATGTGTGGGTAACACTCATTGTGCTCTGATTTTACTTACTTGCAAATTTCTTTTTAAAAATGGGAATTGATATTTTCTTACTCATTCAACTTGAGAGCTCAGAGCCACAATTTAACATTCAAGTTTTGTTCCAATTTTGTCCTTAAATAACCAGAAATTGCTGCTATAAAAAAATAAGTGCATCTAATTTGTGACCAGTCTTTCAGAAAGACCCATCTAATTTATTTGGGAATCTGTGACTACTAAAATACCCAATTGAGTAGTTATAGAACAGAATTTCATGTTTTAGATACTGCAGTCTCATATGAAGAATAGAATCACATACCTTCTTTATTCTAGAACATTCATGGATTTTATGTTTTGAAAATGACATCACGGTTTCTCAAAATGTGTAATTCTTTCTGCTGAGCAGAGGTGATGAAGGGATGGCACCTGAGCTCTCAGCAGTGCCTCAAGAGTAGGTGTCACTTTATCTAGCGGTGCCTTTTAACAGGCTCCACGACAGTTGGGTTTTTGACTTGCTTAAGCAATTTCATATCACCAAAATTAGATATTCCATTTGATTAAATTAGACCTTGATAGAGATGGAAGAACCTAAGCTTAGATCCTGATCTCGCCAGTCAGCAGATCAGCAGATCAGCAATAACGTTCTCAGTGCTAACATTCCCAGCTTTCCTCTGCTCCATGTCCAAGCTTAAGCAACTTAATTGATATCAATGATGAAAGATTCCAGAATTATAATCCTGGCAGGTAGGCCCTCTGCAGAAGGCCCCTTGTCAGGACATTTGCATGGAAGGGAGGCTCCAGGGAAGGAAAATCCTTACAAGGAGAGTCCCCTCGGCTCTGAAGTTGTATCTCACATTCCTCAGCTGGGCTCCATGTGACTAAGGACTGATGGCATCCAACCCACTAATGCTTGGTGGCTAGTAATTCTC